GGGGCGGGGGGCGGGGCGAGCAAACCGGCGAGCCTGCCGGCCAGAGTGTGGAGCCTAGGCCAGTCCGGTGCGCGCTCCGCGAGGGCCGACGGGGGCGGACTGAGGAAGAGAGAGAGGCGGCGCGCGCCGTCCGGGCCGCCGCGAGCGCGAGGAGGGACGGGAGCGAGCGCGGGCCGGCGGCGCGCGCCAGGCGCAGACGGCCCAGAACGCGCACCGAGCGCTCGCCCTGGGCCGACCTCAACCTAGAGGCCAGCCAAGGGCGAGGAGCGCCGGACCCTCGCCAGCTCGCTCACCTCCAACCCACCTGCCGCCTGGAGGGAGAGCAGTGGACTGTGCGGCCAAGTGCAACGGCGGGGCGCGAGCCACGCGAGGAGCCGCCGCGAAGTGCTAGGCTTGCGGAGCGGAGGAAGAGAGAAAACTCAAAATCGGGGTCCTCTGTAGATTGACCAGACGCGCGACGGTCACAGCGGAGCGAAAGATCTGGCAGAAAGACGCTAGGAAGACACTAGGAAAAAATCGGAAAGTTCCAGTGGTGAAAACTCTCCTCACACCACGGCAATGTAGAATAAAGTCGGCGGTCCCTCCGGAGCCGGGCAAAGTCGCACCAGCCCCCGACTGGACAATGGGGCGCCAAGATCTCACCGCCACGGCGGCTGCAGCCTCCGTGGATATTGAAGGGTTTTAGCACCTTGCATCCTAGGGGGGAAAAAAAAAACTTTTCGGTGTGATTTCTGGTAGAGTTCTCTGATCCCCTGCCTCCAGTCTAAGTTAGGTCTTTTATGTTTTCCTCACTTGGCTCAGTCTTTCTACACCTTCATGTTAATTATAACAAGTTGCACACATATTTTTATATATTTGTGTAATGTCTGACTGCCCAACTGACTGTAAACACTATGAGAGCAAAGATCATGTCTATTTTCTTCTCGATAATTTATCCTCTGCCTGACATACAGCAACTTCACCACTAACTCAATAAACAAAACTGAGTTGTAAGCAACGATATGTTGCTCAGTCAGGAAAATTTATTATTTCAGATTTGCTGACAAACTAATCTCTAAAACATTAAAATGTTCCAACAACTGTCTTGAGAGTTGCGTTCAGTTGCGTTCTCCCTTCAAAATGAGAGAGTTCTAGAGTGTAATATAAACTGAGGATAAGGGAGTAAATTACTGGAGATGGACATGGGCCAAAGTAGTTTGCTTTTGCTGTAATCTCAGAATTAAAGAGCATAGGCAGTAGAGTCAGAATTGGGTGTGAATCACCCCTGCTACTTGTGTGACACTAATCATGACTCAAGTCATTTGTAAAAGTGAGCTAGTAATAATGCCTATACCTATAGTTTATTAGAAGTAATTCAAATCTAGTGCTTATTCAGTGTAGTAGATAATAAATATGTTTAGATCTGTTAATTGATTTATATCTGTAAATATCTAAATGGATTATTGTAAAGTAGCATAATCCCTACTGCCCCTTAAATCTGGTACCACAATTATAGACTTTCATGGCACCCAATCTTTTCCTTCCTAGAACTTACCAGTTTATTTGGGGCATGAGTATTCCTTTAATGCCTTTCTCTCTGATTAGATTATGAGCTATGTAAGGGCAGAAAATATTTCTATATAAAGGCCTGTCCCAACACTCACCATAATGCATGCACATGGAAGATGCTCAAAAAACATTTGCTTTCTGAATCAACGAATACGTTACTCTGATTTACTCAACTGCTGGAAAATATAGTTAATAGAGTTTGGGATATATGAAGAAATGTTATTAAACATATTTACTAAGAGTCAAGTTTGATTCTTACAAGTTTGATTTAACTAGGTGATTTTTCCTTATTTGGAAGACATTAAACTTTATAGAAAAGCACAAAGAATAGCACAATCTATGCCCATATACTCACCACTCAGAATTAATAATTATTACTTAATATATCAGAAGTCCACTTTAACCACCTCCATATAGCATCACTGGGAGCAAGTACAACCTGAGTTTGGAGTCCATTTTTAAATTATGTGTCTGTATATATGTAACATTGTTTTGTGTATATTTCATTTAATTAAATGTTATTACAGCTGCCTACCATCCCATTGCTGACTTTCTTTTTCCTGTGCATACTGACACACAAAGATCTAATTCCTTTAAGTGCTGTAAAATATTTCACCTTAAGACTATATCACATTTGGGCTTCCCTGGTGGTGCAGTGGTTAAAAATCCCCCTGCCAATGCAGGGGACACAGATTCGAGCCCTCGTCTGGAAAGATCCCACATGCCGTGGAGCAGCTAAGCCTGTGCACCACAACTCCTGAGCCTGCACTCTGGAGCCCGCAAGCCACAACTACTGAGCCCATGTGCCACAACTACTGAAGCCTGAGTGCCTAGAGCCTGTGCTCTGCAACAAGAGAAGCCACCGCAATGAAAGGCCCATGCACTGCAATGAAGAGCGGCCCCAGCTCGCCACAGCTAGAGAGAGCCCGCATGCAGCAACAAAGACCCAAAAGAGCCAAAAATAAATAAATAAAAATAAATATATTTATTTAAAAAAGAAAAGAGGATAGCTTCAAGATGGCAGAGGAGTAAGACCTGGAGATCAACTTCCTCCCCACAAATACATCAAAAATACATCTACAGGGCTTCCCTGGTGGCGCAGTGGTGGAGAGTTCCCCTGCCGATGCAGGGGACGCGGGTTTGTGCCCCGGTCCGGGAAGATCCCACGTACCGCGGAGTGGCTGGGCTGGTGAGCCATGGCCACTGAGCCTGCGCATCCAGATCCTGTGCTCTGCAACTGGAGAAGCCACAACAGTGAGAGGCCCGCGTACCGCAAAACAAACAAACAAACAATAATCTACATGTGGAACAGTTCCTACAGAACACCTACTGAACGCTGGCAGAAGACCTCAGATTTCCCAAAAGATGCCCTCAGGCGACCTCCACGCAGAGGTGGGGCCAAATCCAAAGCTGAACACCAGGAGCTATGATAACAAACAAGAGAAAGGGAAATCTCTCCGTGCAGCCTCAGGAGCAGTGGATTAAATCTCTACAATCAAACTGATGTACCCTGCATCTGTGGAATACCTGAATAGACAGCAAATCATTCCAAAATTGAGGTGTTGGACTTTGGGATCAACTGTACACTTGGTGTTTGCTTTCTGCATCTAATTTGTTTCTGGTTGTATGTTTATCTTAGTTTAGTATTTAAAGCTTATTATCACTGGTAGATTTGTTTATTGATTTGATTACTCTCTTCCTTCTTTTGTTAACATATATTTTTTTTTTTTTCCTTTTTCGCCTTTTGTGAGTGTGTATGTGTATGCTTCTTTGTATGATTTTGTCTGTAAAGCTTTGCTTTTACCTTTTCTCCTAGGCTTCTGTTTGTCTGGGGTTTTTTTTGTTTCTTTGGGTTTTTAGCACTTGTTACCATTGGTGGATTTGTTTTATGGTTTGGTTGCTCTTTCTTACTTTCTTTTTTATTACTTTCCTTTAATAATTTTTTGAAATTTTTTATTTTAATAAGTTTATTTTATTTATTTATTGTTTTACTCCCTTTTCTTCTGAGCCAGGTGACTGACAGAGTCTTGGTGCTCCAACTAGGTGTCAGGCCTGAGCCTCTGAGGTGGGAGAGCCGAGTTCAGGACATTGGTCCACCAGAGACCTCACAGCCCCATGTAATATCAAATGGCGAAAGCTCTGTCAGAGATCTCCATCTCAATGCTAAGACCCAGCTCCACTCAATGACCAGCAAGCTACACTGCTGGAGACCTTATGCCAAACAACCAGCGCACAGGAACACAACCCCACCCATTAGCAGAGAGGCTGCCTAAAATCATTATAAGTTCACAGACACTTCAAAACACATCACTGGATGCTGTCCGGCCCACCAGAAAGACAAAATCCTGCCACCAGCACCAGTCCCCTCCACAAGGAAACCTACACAACCCACTGAACCAACCAGAGCCACTGGGGGAAGACACCAAAAACAATAGGAACTACAAACCTGCAGCCTGAGAAATGGAGACCCCAAACACAGTAAGTTAGGCAAAATGAGAAGACAGAGAAATACACAGCAGCTGAAGGAGCAAGGTAAAAACCCACCAGTCCAAACAAATGAAGAGGAAATGAGCAGTCTACCTGAAAAGGAATTCAGAGTAATGATAGTAAACATGATCCAAAATCTTGGAAATAGAATGGAGAAAATACAAGAAATGTTTAACAAGGACCTAGAAGAACTAAAGAGCAAACAAACAATGATGAACAACACAATAAATGAAATTAAAAATTCTCTAGAGGGAATCAATAGCAGAATAACTGAGGCAGAAGAATGGATAAGTGACCTGGAAGATAAGATAATGGAAATAACTACTGCAGAGCAAAATAAAGAAAAAAGAATGAAAAGAATTGAGGACAGTCTCAGAGACCTCTGGGAAAACATGAAATGCAGAAACATTTGAATTATATAGGTCCCAGAAGACAAAGAGAAAATAAAGGGTCTGAGAAAATATTTGCAGAGATTACAGTTGTAAACTTCCCTAATATGGGAAATGAAATAGTCAATCAAGTCCAGGAAGCACAGAGAGTCCCATACTGGAAAAATCCAAGGAGAAACACGCCAAGACACATATTAATCACACTATCAAAAATTAAACACAAATAAAAAATATTAATAGCAGCAAGGGAAAAACAACAAACAACATACCAGGGAATCCCCATAAGATTAACAGCTGATCATTCAGCAGAAACTCTGCAAGCCAGAAGGGAGCGGCAGGACATATTTAAAGTGATGAAAAAGAAAAACCTACAACAAAGATTCCTCTACCCAGCAAAGATCACATTCAATTTCAACGGAGAAATTAAAACCTTTACAGACAAGCAAAAGCTAAGAGGATTCAGCACCACCAAACCAGCTTTACAACAAATCCTAAAGGGACATCTCTAGGCAGGAAACACAAAAGAAGGAAAAGG